CGGATCCCAATTTTGTAATAACTCGTGGTCTAATTTCAGACCAAATAGAAACGCTATTAATCTTTTTGGACAAAACGTGTAAAGTATAGGATAGTGGGTTAAGAATGTATATTGGTTGTCCGCTCTGTGTGATGGAAAATTAGGATTGAATATGCTACATATAGAGGAGAACYGTTTAAAATGTTCAACAGTCGTATTTATATTCCATTGTATTTGCAAGAAAACTGTATCTCATCTGGAAAATTTGCTTTTTTTTTTTTTGGCTTTTTTATTTTTTTGTGTGTGAACTGATTGGTCAAATGCTGTGCTTTCTGCAATATCATTGGCTTTTCTAAACAGTGCGATTTGAAACTCAAAATGAGTGACGGCTGCTACTTTGAGTCAGTTTCTCTTCACGCAAGCCATGGAAATACTAGAAGTACAACTACAACAAGAACTATCGAAGACTATAAGAATTAAGCACAAAGCAATTTATCTTTAATATATTTGATAAATGTAAACATTGAGGTACTAAAATCTATGTCTATGCAAAGAAGTATTAGCAAGAAATCTTTTTAAAAACGGAAACTTAGTTGGATAAAAGGAACACTGTTCCATAATTTTGGATCAACATCAACTGAATTCCACTCTCAACAACTCCGTTTTTGCCTCTTCTTTTCCTCATAGTACATACTTGTAAACTGAATCCAGTTCCAAAGCGAAGAACCAGTGGCCGTAGGCAAGTCATCTAGCTAAGCTAGGACACAGCAACCAAAACAAGTGGGTAGGTAATATGTCTCAATCTAGACGCAGCCGATCAAATAGAAAGGCACATCACAAAAATTTCATTGTAAGCATTTTATAAAGAAGAARCAGACACCTTTAAAAAGAATTGTGATCATTTCCTTGTTGAAATTTCTTCCGCATAATGGAGGTCGTTTTTAGGAATAAAAAAAAGAACCCTTTTAAGCTCCACTTCTTCGATTCTCAGACACTCTCAAGATGTACATTTCGAATCATTATGCACTAAAAAAAAAAAMAACAAACAGGGTAAATGGATACTCGATTCCCTGCCGTGCTGTATTGTCCACTTGTTCATTAACGATACGAGACATCTCTTCAACAAAATGAATTTTGTGTAAAATTTAGTCAAAATAGCTGTCTGACCATTTGCCTAAAGCCCCGTTTACACTGGCGATTTTTGCGGCGATTTTTGCTGCAATTTTTGTGGCAATTTTCGGAAATACGAAATCTTTTGTCTCATCCTTCAAAAGAGACATTCGTCTAGGAAAATCTTGGTATCCTGAAAAAAACTTTACAAGTAAATTCTTTACCATTATTTATTATGGACAAAATCGCAAAAAAATCGCAGCAAAAATCGCTAGTGTAAATGGGGCTTAAAAGGGAAGCAACACGGGGGCGTGCGCATGCGCTGCTAATATGCCGCCTCTCACCAATRCGACTTAACCGTCGTATGTGGGTAGAGTTGTTTGTTGGTTCTCTCCTGTGCTTCGAGGCTTTTTCTCCGGGTTCTCCGGTTTTTCCTTCAAAACTAATCAACTTCTAAATTCTAATTCAGTCTATCGGCTGCCTTATCAATTGGGTCGCAAGGCCTGTTAGGCATTAGGCGTGGTAAACGCATAAGATAAGAAAATTCCCCTTAATTTTTTCTCTTGCTTTTCTCTGGCTTTGTTTGTCTGTGATCTGATTCGCGGAACAATGCTATGTTTTTTTTGCAATTTTGTTGGCTTTTCAAAACAGTGCGATTTAAAGCTCAAAATGGTTCAATTCGCGATTTAATTATATCCATTTTGTGATCACTGTCAAATCCGGCAATCTGATTGGTTAACAATTAGCACTATTTTTCTCATCAACTGAATTAAGCCAATGACAAAAGAAACATGTCATCTATCTGTCCAATCATATCAAGGAAACAAGGAAGCCATTTGAGTGTTTTACTCGGCACCTTTGGTGAAGGCAACCGGGGGCAAAGGCGCTTTTGCTGAAAAAAGTTTTTAGAAAATTTTAGGAGCCATTTTTAGAGAAAGAGCTCTTAAARAAATATTCAAAAACACCACCTAGACAAGTGAAATCTTTGAAAGCATAATCTTTCACAGATCGTTTTATAATTTGGAAACAAAACGCCGTTTTAATTTTACATCCGTCTTCTCACAAGTACAAAAAAAAAAAACTTCTTATCCGATCAAATACAAAAACAAATTAGTGATATTTTTTCTGTTTTCGGACCATAAAAACCTTTCAGGCTYAACTATATTTCTCATATTTTATTCGTCGAAGGGCGTGAGTGACAAGTGTGGCTTGTTTGTCTTCTCGCAAGTCATGGACTTCAACATCACTAATTCCATCTTCAACAACTCGGCTATTTCTCCTGATCCTCAACAAAACCAGTTCGTGGAAAGCATCACGAATGTCGCTAAGTACAGCTCCAGCTTAGTAGTTTTCTTGTTGACAGTCAACATCACCATGCAAATTCTAAATATCCTGGGAAACCTGACTGTCATTGTGACAATAGTTGCTTACAGACAGCTCTGGGTACCCACGAATATTCTGGTGGCAAGTTTGGCGGTTGCAGACCTTATCATAGGCCTCATCTTACAGASAAGTAATGAACTAAATTTATTCAACGTTCTCACAAACTATAAGAGACCCTGTACTTCATATTGTATTAAAATGGTAGAAACGACGGGCTTCGTAACCATCATGGTTAGTTTGGCTCATCTATCGCTCATAACACTTGATAGATTCGCTGCCATCGTCTATCCTCTACGATATGTAACCATCATAACGATGTCCCGTACCAAAAAGGCCGTGATGTTCGCCTGGACGACGAGCTTCGTCTTTGGATTACTAGTCTCGATTCCTTCCCCCCTTAGCAACGAAGCCAGAATGCTATGGCACCTATTTATGCTACTATCCTCTTTGTTCATGATCACTCTTTATGTAAAGCTCTACTGCATCTCGAGAAAACATGCCAAAAAAATCCGAGACGAAATCCAATTTGTCAGTCCTGGAGCAGAAACTAAGGAAGAAAGACGAGGCCTGATGACTATTGCGATAGTAACCGTAGCCATGGTAACCAGTTATGTACCTATCGTTGCTCTAGAAATAGATGCGAAATTTGCTTCAGGTGAAAGAGGAGAAACTGCCAGGCTCGTCCATGATATCTTGAGACAGTTCGCAATAATATCGATTCTCTTCAACTCTACTCTAAACCCCTTGGTGTACTTCTTCAGGAGTCAAAAACTTAGGACTTACAGCYTTAAACTAATCAAGTCCATTCCCACGAGAATACAGGAATGCTTTTGAACCTGACTTATCCTATTCGCAAAGTATGCATTACAAGCCAAGCCAAGCCAAGCCAAGTAAAAAGCATAGAGAATTTCCAGATTTTTCTTTTCTTAGAAACGCTTCACGAGCCAGCCCGTACCGCTCGGAACGAGTTACATGATTGGATTAAAAAACAATAGATTGGTTGTCACAGCACTAACTAAACCTAACCTTACAAAAGCGGTACTCTGCTTAGGGAGCAATGAAATCCAGCTTTCGAGCGGTACTGGATTACTCCGCTTCACTGGAGATAGTTTTCAAGTTTTTGTCGTCGTTATTCAAGTCACTGTAATTTTCAACCTTAGCCAGAGTAAATTTAGTCCAATTTTTGATTGTTCTTCGCCATGAAGAGACAGATAGAGCGTCCGTGTGCTAGGTCAAGTTATAGTTGTTTCTCGAAAATAGCGTAGAGACATCCGTAGGCAGGGAGCTCAATTTAAATAAAAGCGAAAGGTAAAAATGAAGTAGGGGAAAAGGGATAATTATATTGATGTTTAAGGTGGATCCAAACTAATTTCAGAGCAAATTTTGTACAATTTTTCTCTGGCTCGCTTCGCAAAACTAATGCATTAATTTAACTGGATTTTTCATATTTGTTCAATGTAAAAATTCACTACAATCTAGATAAAGCTCTGGTCTATTGACGTAGGAATTTTGAAGAAAAAACTTGAAGCCGTTTGAAATTTCCAGGACAAGACATTTCCAGGAATTCCAAAGAGTTTTTTAATAACTTGAAAGGAAAGATCTGCATGGTTCCCCTAATTTAAGTGATTCAGAATTGCGACCTGTTTAAAACCATACAGAAATTTATAACAGATTCAAAGCGCTTTGATTATAATTAAGACATMGACCCCCTCGATGAGCGTTACGCTCTTGGGGTTATGTATCGACAAAATATGTTTAAATAAATAAAAATAAAAAAGTAAAAAAAAAACCTCAAAAGTCCAGGAGTTTTGAAATAAATTTGCAAAACATTTATCAGGAATCTGGAAGGAAACTTCGATACCTGTCCAATGGTTTTCCAGTAAATTGCCAGTAGTTTTTCACGAACTTGAAAGGAAATTTTCAAGAGTTTTCCAGTAAATTTGCAAGAATWTTTCTGGAACTTGGAAGGAAATTTTGAAATTTCTTGAGTTTTCCAGGAATTTCATGAAGCTTTCCAGAAAATCCAAGTAGTCTTTCGGGGATCTGGGAGGAAATTTCGAAAATCCAGACGCTTTATAGCAAATTGCATGGACTTTTTTTAGGAACATAAAAGGATATTCCTGAATCTTAAAAGAAATTCCAAGTAATTTTTCTGGAATTTTGAAGAAAGTTTCAAAATTACTAGATTTTCCAGGAATTTCAAAGAGTTTCCAGGAATTTTAAGACGTTTTCCAGGAATTCCAATGAGGTTTTCCAGGAATTCCTACAAATTTTTATGGACCCTGAATTTTTTTTTTTTTTTTTTGAAATTCCAGGAGTTTTCCGCATAAATAATAATATATGCATAATAATATAAACTAATCAATATTCTAGTATTTATTATTTATTATTTACTGTAATTCGAATTCCTAGGAGTTTTTCACGACCTTAGACGAGATTTTGCTGCTCGTCGTGCATGTTAGTTATTACACAGCAAGAGAGAAAGGAAATAATGTATACAAAAAAGAGAAGGAAAAATATATTCTAACCTTTTTTGAGAGAGTTCGTTGCTCCTTCTTGCTCAGGGAATGAATATTCAGGATCATCTTTGCGCAAAAAAA